TACAGGCTGGATGCCTTTATCATTAGGTGTGTTGGTATAGAGACTTCTTACGTCAATAGTAATAAGTATGAAGTTGTCTGGTAGTGTGTTATTCTGAATATATTCTCACCGTTCGCCCCACTGCACAATACCATAGCTGAAAATAAACTAAGAATGGGGACAAAATGATTTTCAGCTAAGAGTAAAGTGCGGCGAGGAGACGGTGTCGCAGCCGAGGGGAGGTGGGTGGGACGAAAATTCCTTCCTGTATATGCAGCCAGGTCGTCTTCGTGGCAAAATGTGAAAAATTGCTGTTTTCCCGGTCTTTTATACCAACCGTGTTTATTCATGCGATTACTCTGATGCTGCTTTATACAGGGTGTCCCAAAAAAAACGCAACCACTTAAATATGCAAGAATATTAATATTGTTCGGCTTTGTACCATAGTTCAGCTAAAATGACTTTTAGCATTGTAAATGAAGGATTAAGAGTCATTTTCAATTCCCAGAGGTGCTTACCTATTGCGCTTTAGAGCTCTATTAATGTTCTGCATATTTAAGTGGTTGCTTTTTTTTTGGGACACCCTGTATTTGCATTAAGTTTTAACGCATTAATATGGTATTGTTTAGCGAAGCGCCCAGTGAGAATATGAGCAAATATCCAGCATAGAAAGTCTGTAGTGCCCTGGACATATGATGGCATGTGTTGTAGGAGTTGTTTGAGTAGATGGTCAGCATATTGAGAAAGCTTGACTGTTGGTCCACCACAACCGGAGATAATAGGTCGACCTGGAACGTTAGTTTTTTGTATTTTGGGTAAAAGGTATAGTTGTGGCTTGATTGTCAGTTGTGAGATATATAAATGTTGTGCTGTCACTGGCATTAGATTTGTGGAGTTTGTGTGCTAGGGTTTTGGTTTCATTTAAAATTTCAGGGGTCGGGTCATGTGTTAGTTTCTGGTAGGGTTTTTCATTATAAAGTTGTCTATATGCCTCAGTAAGATAATCTTCCATTGGCCATATCACAATGGCTCCTCCTTTGTCTGCTGGTTTGATTATTATATCATCATCCTTTTTCAGATCATGGATGGTTTTGAGGCTTTGTGAGGGTATGTTGGTTTTTGTAGTTTGTTTTTGTGTTCCAAATTCAGTTTTGAGATCGTAGAGTACATTTGATATGTATTCTAACAGGTTGCTGTTGTCGGGGTTTGGTGCTGTGAAGTTACTGGGTAGTTTAAATGGATGTTTTTTAGTGCCCTTTCTGTTTCTGAAGAAATATTTATTTTTTTATATTTCAGAAAAGAGTAATATATGGTCTTGTATGGTGTGTGTTTGGGTGTTGGGACAAAGGTAAGACCTTTCGACAGGGTTTTTTTGCTTCATGTGAAATGGGTTTGTTAGAGAGGTTGACAATAGTATTGTGTTGGGAGTTATATTTGAGTTTTTTATGTAGTTTATTTTTGCTTTTGTGTCTGTTGTTATTTGTATTCCGTTGTGTTTTCAAATATTCTAGGATGTTTCGTTTGTTGTAATTGTTTGTATTTGTGTTGAGTTTTAGTTGGTTTTTTTGTTATTTGTGGTGTGTGGGTTTGTCGCGTCTTAGAAAATCCATGATTTGTTGTTGCGTGTTGTAGTTTAAGTGAGATGGAATGTTTATGTGAGCGAGGTGCTGATTGTTGCTCATTGTTGTTTGGTTGATGGGTTTGGTGTCTGTTGTTATTAGGTTGTCGATAGTGGGTTGGTATTCGAAGTTGTGGTGTTCTTGTTACTGTTGTTGTGCTAGTTGTTCCGGGTTTGTTGTGTTGTGGGGTGTGGGTTTGCATGAGGGATTTTGGTTTGTGTCTGTTGGTTGGTGTGTGTGTGGGTTTGTTGGTTGGTTGTTCTGTATGGTGCCCTATAGGGTGACGAGGTTGTTGGAGTGATTCTAGTATTTGTGTTGTTAAGTCGTTTAAGTTTTATGTTGCGATTGTGGGATGGTGCTATAGGCAGGCTTGTTTTGTGTATTTGGTTGCAATTGCGTCGGTTTGTTGTAGTATGTTGTTGGCAGTCGTTGTGTCACATTTGTTGTTGATTTGTGCAGTTATATGTTGTATTTTAAACTCTGTGTTTGTTATTTCCTGTTTGTGGTAGTCAATGGTTACAGTAAGTAGTTCTTGTGAGGCATTCATTAAGATGTCCTCCCATCTTTGTCGTAGGTCTTTGTTTAGGCAGTGTTTGCTTTTGTGTGTGATCTCTAGTCCAGGGGTAGTGTCTGTGCTTTTTTGTGTTCTTCCAGTTCGTCAAGTGTGCATTTGAGTGTCGATAATTTGGTTTTCTGTGTGCTAATAATGCGGAAGGTTTCCAGGAGGTGTGGTGGTATGCTGTTGGGCTTAGGAATGGATTGTGGTTTGTTATTGTGTGGTGTGGTGTTGGTTGTGATTTGGGGGTTAGTTGTGATTTGGGGTGTGTTGTTTGTCTCTGGGTTTCCGTCTTCTGTGTTTAAAAGTTTTTGTTTTTCTTTATGTAGGCCTTCTATTATTGAATCAGTTTCCTGATCTGATATGATCAATTTGTGGCCAAAAATAAGGGAGGTGTCCAAGTCTGTTATGTTTCCGTCGTCATGCAGTCCGTAAAAATTCATCTATCTGTTCATCTGACATGTCAGGTGAGGGGGGGGGGGGGTTCGTTTGGATTGGGGATGGGTTTGTGTCAAGGATGGGGATGGTGTTATCAGGGATTTCAATAGACATATTCTGGGGGTCGGTTGGGTTTTTGGTAGGGTTGCTTTGATTTGTGGAGTTGAATGGGACCTCTTAAAAATTAAGGTTATCCTTTGTAAGTAATAGTTCCATTTAAGTAGTGATCGTTGTGTTTGTTAGTAAGTGTGTTAGGGGTGTGTGAACAAGAGGCACTGTTTTCTGGTTAATTGTATGAGATTGATCCAATTGTTACAACTAGAACTAAACAATATGGCGAGCTTGGTGGCGCTCTCTCCGTGTTTATCTTATATTTTGACATAGGTAATTGGAACCATATTGTAGTTCGTATATAGTTATAAGTTAATTTGTAACAATTGTCTGAATTAAACTAACTAGAGAAAAAAATTTTGGACGTTATGTATATGTGAGCAAAAGGGGAGCATAATGAGTAATTTGTTGAATAGTTAATTGCGAATTAAGGGGCGTAGAAATAGAAATAAAAATAAACAGATGGGGTAGTTAGGAATTTGTTGGACAACCGCCAACCATGTGGTGTGTTTGAGGAGAGGAATGAAGATGTTTACATCGAAGTTCGCAGAGCGTGTTTGTGGCGCAGTTACATCAGAGAACTTGTAGGATGAATGAAATGTACAAATGTGTGCGTTCAAGAAAATACGCTCGAGATAGTTTAAGACCAAGGATTGTAAACGAAGAAGGGTTTAATGAGTATAGAACATCTGAGTTAGTCGAAGAAACTAGTAAATATGAGCCGGTTAATATCACCGATCAGACTATTGATGGTGCTTTAGTCAGTCTTTGTAGCAGAGGTCCATCGTTTGTTCCGACTCCTACTAACGTAGATTGGAACGATTTACAACAAAGCTGGCTAGACTTCAAGAGAAAAGTGAGATGGCGATCTTTCTTTCACGGAAGAGAAATTACATCAACAGAAGAAGCCGGTTAGAAGCGCCTTATAAAAAGTCAGTAAAGGAACCACCGCCTTCGAAGATTCCTGCGATAGAGGTATTTCTGAGTGGTGTAGAGAAGGAGTTATTTTATGTGAAAAATGAGAAAAGAGTGACCGATAATTTAACGCGGTCCGAAAGAAATGCTTTAAAGAAATTTCGTACTAGCTACAAAAGTTTCTGAACGAAATTTATTAGTGCGTATTCAAGACAAGACAAGACTTTGTATTTTTAGACCAGGAAATGGACGCTAGTAAAGTTAGGGAACAAATCAAAACTACATAGTGCGAGACAATCTGATGACCCTGATCTTTTATAATCTTGAAGAGAAAAGAACACGAAAATACGACTAAATTAATCCACGATATTTTTGAAGAGAAAATACGCATGGAAAATGCGAAAGAAACAGTTAAGATGGACAGATCACATCGTGTAGGAAAAAAAAGTGAAAAGACCTCGACCAATAATCCCCGAGCCGGTGCGGAGCACCGTGCGAGGGTACTAATTCCGCTCGGATATTTACACCCAGGATGTGCAAAGGCGAAATCAAAGTTGTCCGCCATTATGCAATGGACCTCACGCCATGGACGGTCAGTACTAAGCTCTTGATTGGTCGAGACAAATATTTGTATCTTTAAACCTGCATGACTGTCATTTCGCAAAATTTTGAAGAAACTTATAAATATATTTTCATATTATTTATATTTTCATAAATATGGAATATATATATATATATATATATATATATATATATATATATAATTATATATATATATATATATTAATTACATTAGAGGGATATATATATATTAATTACATTAGACTTTTTACGGTTTAGCAAAAAAAAGACTAAATTTTCGACCGAATTCACCGTGTATAAAAAGTCATTCTTTTGTGGTAAACACAACTTTAGTATTCTCAAACGTATTTCACTACAAATCTGAATGTGATATATGATAGACGACATTAAAATTTCATTTGTAAACTCAGTTTTTTCAAAACATTTGCGTGCAAAAACCAGTGGAGGCGTAAACATAAAACTTCGGAAGTCGTATGAGACGTCTGATGCTATATTTCACCCTAATTAATAAAATAATTTACCATAACAGTTACTATAGATGAGTAACTTAACTTTCAGAAAATGGTTAGAATCTTGTCGTATTTTTGCCTTTTTTTTCACAAAAATATGAGAGTAAACCACTGAGCTATATAATAATTCCTGGAGGACCGGTTCGCCACAAAAAAGTGTCACAAAAAAGATGGCGGATTTTCAGTTTTGCTGACGCCACATGGTCCCCTTTGCCCATGGTAATTACCACTGACATACCGCGATACAAAGTAAAAAACGTGTCCATCACCCTCCCGATTTTTATCAAAATATTCTCGGTTTTCGGTATTGTTTTCGGCATATATTTTCTCCGCATTTCATCTAAAAAGACTCTTTTTCCCTGTTCAACAAGTTAAATGGAGAAGTGATTTTTTGCTCTACATATGATGCTGTGAATGGCCTAATTCACCTATCGGGAGATTAATTTTTACCTCAGGTAAGCCGGTTTTCATAATATTTTCGTTTTTCGCCCTTTGGTATAGACAACTACCAAATTAAAGCGTCTGTTGCAGTTATTTCTTTTGAAATTAATGTTAAAAACGGCAAATATGCTGCAGAGTGCAGCCTTTTTGATCATTGGTACATGACAACTACGCTATGAAAAACTATGGATCAATAACTGATCTTTTAAGTTTTGGCTATGTTTTGGCTTTTGAATAGAACTCTTAATATGGGATTTGCACTGGAGCTTTCACTCATATTTAATGCCAATTCATGAGTATTTTCAGTCAAACAATTAAGATGAATCAATACTCAATCCTCCCAGTGAATTTACTAGTCTCTCTATTGATCCTTTCTAGTCTATTTTAGATGAATTTAAAACATTAAACATGATGACTGTGTGAGTGCTGATACAAAATATTTTTCTGTCAGATTTCAACAGTGGTTGTTAAAAGTCTAGTATGTTATTTTGTTTGCCTTGTCAAATGCAAAGTCAATAATCATGGCTTAATAGACTTCTTGGCATCTTGCACCTTGTTGATCAAGCTACAAGCTTGATTCAAGCTACAAGCTTGATTGTTAATTTGCAATGGTTTTTACTCTCCTCTGGCTCTGTCCTCTGGGTGTGCTCTGTAGAGTACAGTTAAACTTGGTCTGATCTCTCTTTTTTAGGATGAAGATGCTATTGAATTTGGGGATGGCTTTTTTGCAAATTACTGGAACATTAAACTGTTAATTTTACCATGTTGACTTTGTTATTCATAGTTAAGATAGTTATTTAAATGGAAAATAAATTTATACAGACATGCATTGACTGAGCAGTTTGTTTTCAATTTGCAGCAACTTTTATAATTTTCTGGACAGTTTTACCCTCCCCACCATTCAAAGGAATATTATCATGGGGCTAATCAGGAATTGAAGGTTAATAGATTATAGACTAATAGAGGAATGAATAGGCTCAATTGCATTATCATGAATTCATGAGACATTTGTTGATAGCACAACTAGTACCATAATCTTCTTGGTACCATAATAAATTTTTTGTTATTTACCATAGCCTTTCCTTGCATTATCTGAAATATGATTCCATATCAAATCCTTGAGTCAAGCAGGGAATCATTTGAAACTGCATTACTTGGGATACGGTAAGATAGGGGTAACTTAGGCTAGCTATAATGACCTGAATGAATATATCCTATGCAAATATGACTTGAAGTACTATTGCTATATAATCAGCCGCCCAGCATCTTGCATGAGGTTTAACTTTTTTTCCTTGAGTTATGGGCTGATATGCATAAGCATGATGTTCTAAAGAAAACATCACATAACAACATATTTTCTGCCGGTAACCTTTAGTCGGCGATTGATATCCAAAAGATAATCCAAATTTCTGACAAGACTCGAAAAATATTCAAGCATTTTCAAAAATTTTATACAGAAATGTATGAATAATGAAAATAAATAAATAAATAAAATAACCTGTCAGCTATTAAATCGTACATAAAAATCCTTCGTCCACAATTATTTTTACGTTTTAATATTAATTTTCTCTGGCATTGGCAAAACAGCGTCCACGATTGTACAGAACTGAAATAAACGCCTTATTGCAACGCTTTGTAGCACAAAAATAAATCGAAAAATACAAAACAACAAGGTTTCCAACATGTTTCACGGCGAAAAAAGATATTCATAAAAAAACCAGGGGGGAAATACTGCTGTTTAGATAAACAAGGGGGGAGCATCTCTTGTAGCGGGCTCAGATTTGAGCCTGGTCAGTGGTAATTACCCTGGACAAAGGGGACCATATGGCGTCAGCAAAACTTCTGCGCAGTGCGCAGAAGGCAAAATCCGCCATGTTTTTTTGTGCAAAAAGATGGCGGCGAAGTTACCGAAAAATGACGAACCGGTCCTCCAGGAATTATTATATAGCTCAGTGGAGTAAACTTTGATTCTTTGAAAATATACGGCCGTTGCGAACTTGCGATGTTGGTTGCGAGTTGCTATGACTACAGTGCTTCCGCTTTCAGAAATATATTTCCATACTTCTCTTCTCACATACGAACAATACCACCTCCAAACACCCCAACCCACACAAAATTTTCCAACTATCATGTCACCATCCCTATGCTTAACTAATTTAGCTTAACCGAGGCGAGGGGTTGCTGCATGCATGTATTTCTAGTAGTTAATTTAACTCTCACCAGGATCGGGAATTCGTGGGGCTAAAAAACGTCAAGGGACAGACTTTGGCATACCTGAACAATTCCGCTTAGAGATTGAACAAACAAGCTAAGAAGGGCTTTATACCCTGAACGGGTATCTGGTATTCCAGGGCGGGTATTATAAAGAATTAAAAAACCAAAGGCTGCGGGCAAAGATTATTTTTCTATATTCCATTTAAGTTTGATGTGTTTATAAGCAATTAACAATCAGAAATTAGATCAGAATTTTAAATCAGAAATTTAAGGTAATAGGAATAACGGAGACCTGGTTAAATGATGATAACGCAAATGATTTTGAATTACGCTATAAATATGTCGGGTTAAACTGGTCAAAAAAAGAAGGAGGGGTTGGCATGTATGTTGTTGATAAAATTAATTATAAAATGAATGACATAAGTACAAATGTTGATGATGTAATTGAAACAACTTTTATTGAAATAATTGCACCAACTGGTAAAAGTATAATTGCTGGTGTTATTTATCAACCTCCAAATAATAAATTCGTTACATTTGAGAAAGCAATGAATGGCATATTGAACACTATTGAGAAGAAAAATAAAATTTGTTATCTTATTGGTGAGTTTAATATCGATTTACTTAAATCAGAATCCTGTGATTTTTCAAGCAGATTTCCGGAGCAACTCTTTACTTCTTCCTTTTATCAACTTATCACAAAACTAACAAGGGTCACTGCACACACTACTACATTTAATAACATTTTTACAAACAATATTCAAGAAATTGACACAAGTATGAATAGAACAATCTTTAGTTGATCTTTAGATCACATACTTATAGTTCATAATTATGTCCACTATTAATGAAACCAATAATACGAACAATGATAAAAACAGTGGTAGATATTACAAGAGAATAACCAGAACATAAATCTATCAACAGAATCATTGAGGGAATTAACATGGGACAGTTGAAAATGATCCTGTACAGTCTAATAATAATTTTTCTGAAATATTCTCAGAAAATTACGAATTAAATTTTCCAATCAAAAAAAGATCAAATAAAAAAAAGTAATTAACAATGTCAAAAGTCCATGGATGAAAAAATGCATATTAAAATCTGTCACGAAAAAAAATCAACTTTGCAAAAAGTATTTATTACATCCAAACACGAAAAACAAAAGCTTATACAGAAAGTATAAAAAGAAACTAAATCGTTTTATAAAACTATCAAAAAAAAGTATTACGAGGAACAACTTATCAAACATAAACAAAATACAAAAATTATTTGGATAACAATTAATGAGTTACTCAATCAACCTACTCGAAAGAAAGAATTACCAATGGAATTTTTATTAAGTAATTCATCCAGTATCACCTCCAACCCTGTTGAAAGTACTGCCTAAAATAGACAAAACACTTCTCGACGTTTCGACCTGAGGGCCTTCTGTTAGGAGAGTTAGTATGAAAATAAATAGGGGAGAATACATGTTTTGTATTGCGGTAAAACACGTGATAAAAATGTGCCAATAGAAAACAAAAAATAAAAAATTTCCACCCCAGCCACACTAAGAGGTCTATCCCCTTCTCACAATTCCTTCGTCTCCGCCTCCTGAGCAGTGAAGATGATGACTTCCAGTCCAAATGTCTGGAGATGAAAACATTCTTTGTTGGGCGCGGCTTTCGCTACGTTTTCGTTGCTGATCAGGCTTCCCTCATTGCGGGCTATTCTTAGCCTACAATCAGGTGTCTGTTTAGAAATGTAATGTATTCGAATTTGTTTTGATTTTTTGTTTTCTATTGGTCCATTTTTATCGCGTGTTTTGCCACCATACAAAACATGTATTCTCCCCTATTTATTTTCATACTAACTCTCCTAACGAAGGCCCTCAGGTCGAAAGGTCGAGAAGTGTTTTGTCTATTTTAGGCAGTTGGTATACCACATTTGATGCTAAGTTGTTTGAAGACGCTGCCACGCTGGTCCCTGGTAATATTGTAACATATTACAAGTTACCCTTTCATGGTTTCTCTATCCAGCAGTTAAATGAGTTCTACAGTAGATCTGGTCTGTCAGTTTTTCATGGTAAAAAATATTTCAAGGGCGCATGAACTATATGACGTGATTCCATTTACTTTTTTATAGACAAGATGTCAGATAGCGAAACGAAAACCAGTGCTGAAGTTTTCACCTTGAAACAGGGTTTGAGAGAAATACCAAGCGACAAGCACCTTTTCTCCTTAGCGATGCGATCGCTTTATTCCGACAAAGCTGCTGGCACCACTAGCGATTCTGCCGAGAAATTCAGAAAACTTCGAGATGACACAAGACAAGACGTAATCTTGTATTTAAAATGCGTTCTGCCTATTTCAACAAAGTTCGTTATGTCCATAAAGCGTATTTCGGGCATTATTAAGTTCTCACCTATGAAGAGTGGTGCGATATGCTGGCAGACATTCCTTACGCGATAGTTCGTACAGACTTTGAAGCAATTCCAGCTGAAGGAACCGACCAAAACTGTGTTGAAAAAAACGTTGGACAAAGTCCAGAAAAAGCGAAGAAGGACATTTGAGTTTATCAAGGAAGACGTCAAACAAGCCTTACCTCTGCGTCTTGAGAATAAAAATGGTTAACTTTAAAATCTTGCAAGTGTCTGAGTTGTTTTCCAAATCACATCAAATTCCATTTGTACCTGAGTGAGCAAAAAGTGCTCCACAGTACAACTTTTTAGAATAAAAAATAGGTTGGAAAATTTGACGTATATAAAATTAATTTCAAATTACATTTTATATCACGTTTTTCTTCGTGTGTCGCACTTTTAAACAATCAGATACAAGCGCATATATACCTCAAACAGGGGCGTAAATCTAGAATAAAGTTCTGCGAAAAAGTCTTGTCTTCTCAAAAACAACGAGGAAGGTATCGTTAATAACCGTATGTTATTACATGTAGTTCACTGAATATACCATATACCAGTATATTCGACAAGCTATCATATAACTGCGGCATTCAAAAACTACTTGGAAAAAACAAAATTTACGTGGAAAATTTTGCCTTTTATCGATGAAAGGTTACGATCACTAGCCTACATATGAAAAATATTGTCTTGTAATAAGCACGACTCAACAATGCCAATATTGTACTGCATGTATATATCAGTGAGTGAATACGTCAGCTAAACATTGAATTATTTCGATCTTTTAAAACCACGCACGACTCACCAAATATAAATAAAATTGAATAATATACCGCGAACAGCGTAGCGAATTAGGAGAATTTATAATCAACAAGACAACTGTTCTGGCGTTAACTCCGGCGTGGCGCGCACGTGCCAGTCTTCAATATAAAGCTTCTGAACGTAAACAATACAACTTGCGAACCTAAATGTTGTTCGATCGCGAAATTCAGAAGCACATCGTACTTTAAAAAGTATAGAAGTTCAATTGTTCAAAAATGTAAATAAACCGCATGATACATTCACTTTGTCTTACACTTTGCCTTTGGAATTCGTGCTTTTATAGTTATATTAAATTTTCAATCCTGTGCAAACTGCAACGTGTCAACGCGCCCATACACGGCCACATCTTGTTAAACGCCAATATAGCGGTGATATTATTAATACAATAGGACCAGAATCTACATGTATTAAATATATTCTTACCCCAATTCAATCTAAACTTAATCGAACAGCATCAAAAGAACGGTTTATTTGTTCCTCTTGGAGAAATTGCCGTATCATGCGAGCGAAATCGAATCGCGCATCGGAAAATTAGCCAAAGCTGTGCACCACAACTCTTGGGAGACAAGACTGGGACATAGATAAATCCCATCACATACACCTTTCAATTACTAGTATATTTCGCGCCAAAACACACTTGCGACGACGAAAAATAATTAAAAAAATAGGCACACATAGTGTGCATATGGCCGCTAACTGGAGGGAAAGAGTGGATCGGAGTGGCTAGCTTAGCAGTTAGTTTTGACAGTTTTGAGCTGGGGCGCTACCGGATCAATGCTATCACACGCTTGACTGCATTTAATTTAGTAAGTTTTCCGAGATCGCTCATATGAATTTTTGTGTCCGCCTGCGTCAGGCGACACTATGGAATCGCCCAACGAACTTCAGGCGAAAATGTACGATCGTACCGTTTATTACGGACGAACTTTAAGCGAAAGGTGTACGATCGTGTACGTACGTCACGTCTATGCGTCACGTGGTGCGCCGTTCATGAGTACTTGTCACTGGCCGGTCCTCCAGGAATTATTATATAGCTCAGTGGTACTTGTGTCTTGTTTGTCACCGGGAGCTCAAGGCAAGAGTCATAGCAAGAGTGTTCAAGCTTTGAAGTTTACGGTAGGATATGTTATGATTTGTTTAATAAAAGTTGTTGTATTTATGTGTAAACTAACTGCTAGAACCGTACGAGTACGACGTGGCGAATTATAATATCTTTGTATGTATGATAAATCCATCATGATCATCCATCAACCATGTCGATCTTGACGTATGCCGTATTTTATATTAATGTGTAACATGAATATAATTTGAATATACTCCGCAATTATCCTTCTAGCTACGGTAGCGATATTTAAGACGACGCGGCCATCGAAACAAACATTAAGCCTACAAGCAGCGCTTTCCCCCTTCGCCCGGTTTATTATACGCACATGATGCTGTTGCCTGGCACGTGGTCGACGGCCGGTCGTCGTACTTAAAAATCTCTCTTTATTCACTATAAATCGTCATCAAGATTCAGGCCATGTACGATCAATTCAATTTTATTATCTATTTTAGCTATTTTTCATTATGGAATCTGCGGAGAAAACGCGAGGAACTGCTCAAGCTGAAGCTGTGACATCTAAGGCAAACGAAAATGAGCTTGTGGCCTACGTGCACAATGTTAGCCCAGTGAAAAGCGGGAAATATTTCGAATGTCTACTCCAAGGGAAAGATAAAGTTTTGAGAGGGGTATGCTTTTCACCTCCGAAGCACAAACGCTTCGCTGCTCTTGCCACTGATACTTCACCGGTGAAACTGAAGAAATTTAAAATCGACACAACCTCAAATGCCGAAGATGTTCTGATGGATAACGACGTCATCATTGAGCCATGTTGCGAAGAATTTGAAAAGCAAACCATGCCAGACCAAATGGATATAACTATCATACGTTCAGTTTGCCCAGGCCAGCTTGTCTCTATGAAAGCTAAGGTAGCTCGTTTATACCCGCCCAAACAAGTTACTACTAAAACACAGTTATTGAATCTGCAAGAGTGTAGTGTTGTTGACCCAAAGGGCACAATCAAACTAGTGTTGTGGGAAGACTATGTAGGAAGTGTTCAGCAAGGGGAAACATACCATTTTGCAGACCTCAGAGTTAAATATAACAAATATGATAATGAAGTATTTGTCAACACTGTGAAGTCGAGTACTAAAATTTCAAGTGCACCCTCATTTGAAGAGGTCTTATCAGTTGCGATTGAAATATCTCATACCACTGTTAAAGGAGAAGTTGTAGGCATATCTAAAGTAGGTTACTACCTAGGCTGTTCCAAGTGTAACAAAAAAGTAGAATTAAGTGGTAATAGTGCTACTGCTTATTGTGCTGCATGCCGTTACAAACAAAAACAAAAGATCTGTAAAAAGTGTTGGTACAGTGATGTTACGTTTCTGGACACTGATGAAAAAGAAGTTACCCTGACCCTCTTCAACAATACCTTAGAACAGGTATTCTCATTGAATGGAAACAACTTTAATGTTGCAACAGCCACAATGTCAGAGATTGAAGATAATCTGCTGGAACTCCCATCTCTTCTATCAATGACATACCAGAAAAAGAACAAAGTAGCTACAAACATTGCGAAAGACGAAGATAACTAAATATGTTGGAACTATTTGTCATAATTAGACATTGCTACTTCAGTGACATTGTTGTGTTATTAGTTGCATGTGATCTTAGTATCATGTTGCTATATTATTGTTACAGTAATTACTTTATCATTAATCAGTATGCTGATTTAGGTGATATTGAACATAATGCTAATTTACATTTTTACGTTATTTTGTTCTGATGGGGAGTATTATTTATGTGTACAAGTGGTAACTATTCATTAAAAGACTCTGCAGTTCCAAAACGTTGTAATAGTTTTTCTTTCAAACTGTTACATGTACAGTAGTTGTAAAAGAAAAAGTTCCAGGTGTAGAAGGTACAATGCGACAATACTGTTTAATATTCAACTGTCCAGTTGTAGAAGTGTTGAAGGTTTGCAGATGTTCTGTTACAGTAGTGGTAACTGACAGTGTTCATTAGCTGTTTCCATTAAGAGAATGTGGTAACAATGTCTTAAATCTCCACTTCCAGAGTCAGTACCACTCTTTATTACAAATTGTGAGCTGCAGTGCTTAGTGATTGTTTATTAGAATTTTAGTGGAATTCGGTGGAACATTGGTATCCAACATCACAAGATGAGTGGACAACTAAATTATCCAGCTGCAAAAAGTAGTACTGTTTTCGTATTATCCAACTGCGTACAGTGGTGTTTCCAAAAAGCAACCAACTTGAAGATTTAAGTATCCAATCATTGATGATACTTGTCAAATTATCCAGCTGTGCAATTGCCAATTGTTCATGAAGTTTCTGAGTGTCAAACATGTGATGCATTATCACTTGTCATTATTATCCTGTTGCAGATAATGTTTCCACAAATTATCCATTAATGTCAATACTATACATAGGAGCAGACTGTAGCATAAATCATTTCATTGATATCTTGTCCGCAGTGCAGTAGACGTTTTGGTTTTTCACAACTTATGGTGACACTGTGATCAATTATCCAGTTGAATAATATTAGCATTTCATGGTGTTTCCACTTTCCATTGTATAATGAATGATGCGATGTACAGTAGCTTGCATAATGTAGATTTCAGACTTCAACTTCTTGATCATTTTAAATCACAAAATGGATCATGCTTTGTCAGTGTTTCAGAAATTGGGGTACAGCTACAGTATTTTACAGTAAAGTAACTGAAGAAATAATATTTATGAAATTATGGTTATTATTAACAAAATAGCAGAGTTGCATGTCATGATACCAATTATAATAGCTTTTTTGTGTTCTTGTCTTATGTCACTAACAGGGAGTACCTGATGAGTGATGACCACTGGAAGTTTAGATTGCAGGTTGCATAGCATACTTTTAAGTATACGTCCTATGGGTAATATGAGACTTTATAGTATATTGTTACGGATGCATTCCATAAACCAAGTTTTCTGTGAATGCTCTTTGGAACAGGGTTTTTAGAAGGGCTTTTAGAATTGTATATAACAATTTTACTTTAGTTTAGTAATTGTGACAATGTAAAATATATGTAAGAAAAAACAAACTCTGAAGATAAACATCTTAATCCACTTAATATTTTACATCTTTTGAATTTACTTGATATTTGGTTTTGTTTTTCTTGAATATCAAGTAAATTCACAAGATGTTTATCTTTGGAGTTTGTTTTTCTTACATGTCTGCAATGGATTGTTATTATTAAGTAAACCCAAGTTTAGTCAGTGGCAATTTGCATGGTTAGCTATCATATCAATTGTTTGGTATTATGACATGCATTACTCAGCTAATAACAGCTATTATTATAACAGTACTTCACACTGTAGATCACAACTTACAGTGCTATTCTACTTATTTTAGTGTTATTAAACTATAAATTGATATGATAGACCATCAATCAGACACTGGCTCCTGTTATGCAACAAAGTGACTGGTACCTGCAATCTAAACTTCCACTGACCGAGGATTATATTTCATGATTTGTGGACTATTTCCTAAAAGAAGAGAAGAAATTATTTAAAAATTTGATGAAAAATTTGGGCATAGTAAGGTCTAAAATAGAACAATGACTTACCTGAGACATGCAATTGATAGATGTAAGGTGAACATGGACATGTGTTGCAAAACAATGTTTGCAACAATACTTTTGACTGGTATATTAACTCAGTTGTGTTTACCACACGAATATGTGCCTTAAAGTTTTATATCTGCTCAGTGTTTGAAACTAATCCAGATAATTTTGTGATCACTAAAATATGTCTCAAACACCCCAGAACGAAATGTAACTGCATCATTATGTATGTTGAAATACACATGATCAATCAATGTGTTATAGTCTGTAGTGAAGCTTGCTACCAATTGTTGGAAACCATTGTCTTCTATCAGGAGATGGTACAAAGACTGTCTTTGTTCTTCAACCATCCAGTTAACATTGAAATCGCCCAGGATTATTGTGTTATCAGTACCATATTCAGTTACAATGTAATTTAACGCTATATACAAATGTCTTATTGGAATTTGTGGAGAACGATACACCCCTATCACAGTATAATTTTTATGATTAGACACTTTGACAACTGTCAACTCAACGCCATTAATATTATTTATGCATGGATAACCTTGTACAAATGGTACTTTACTGTAAACTGCTGTTCCACCAAATGGTCGTCTGTTATCAACTATGTTTGTTGAGTCATTTCTAAACAGTGAAGAAAAACCACTAATATTGTACATATTAGGATCACATGGCAAGAATCTTGTCTCAGAAAATATTACTAAGTCACTGGAACATAAGTTGAAGTCATTTCGAACATCATCAATATGTTTATGAAGTGATCGAGCATTTAAATAACATACATTGAAATTGGAGTCATCCATGTTGTAAAGTGGAGTGAAACAAAGCTCTAACATTCTGTCAGTTCGAAGCTGTTGCATTTCAGTAACTACATTGTTGTCAACAGCAATTTTATCCTCACCCAGGTCGGAAACATATAAGCCTTCCATTGTTGTGACTCGGCTAAGTGCAACATAGTGAATATGTGAAACAGCTCGTTTAGTGTTTAGATTGACAACAATTTGTGTTTGTGTATCTCCTTGGGAACGATGTACTGTTTTTGCAGCAGCTAGTCGCAGTGGGAATTGTTTTCTGACGACTTGAGCAGATTTAGTTCTACCTACAGGAAATTGTGTAGTTACTGGTTTTATTGGTGTCCATGTAGGTTGCACTGCCTGTCTTGTATAAAGACCTCGGTTTTCCTGTCGGGTTTTTCTACCTACATCATCCTGGTCAAATAGCACCCAGATAATTCCAGAAGGTGTATTTGGTTGGTTTAATTGAACTAGTTTAACGATGTTACTGGCACCATTTGTCATACCATCATCTGTCCTGATGTTCATAGCAAGTTCTGTTCTACCACCCTCAGCAATACGTAGATTTGTTGCTAATTGTTTGGTATTTTTTAATGGAACATAAGGGATCTGCCTCATAATCTTGTCTCTAAGTTCAGCAGAATGGGCTCCAATGACACTATCATGTGCAGTGATGGTATATTTATTTCCACGAGATGAATCATATGCTCTAGTATTGTATGCATCTACCAAAGCGTTTTGGAAGAACAATCGAGGAGCCTCTGGTGGACACTCACTTTCACTTTGTACAGATCTTTCTTTAATTTTTAAGATGTCATTTCCTGTATGTTGACCTTCTCTTAGTCGATTCAAAATCTCAGCAAAAACCTTGCTCCCCCTTTGTCTCATAATTTCACCAAGCTCAAACATTCTGAAGTATTTATTCCATAAATTTGGGGCTAATATGCTGTAATCAGAACTGGTAATATCCTTGAAAATATAACCATCCATAACTGGTTTCAGTTGAAATAGGTCACCAATTGCTATGATGCTTACACCACCAAAGTCTTCTTTGCTACCTTTTATATCTTTCAAACGGTTATTAATTTGAACAGTAAACATGTTGTTGCCCACCATTGATATTTCATCAATAAATATCAATTTAACCCCGCCAAGTTGGCACCTCAATGTGTTTAGCCTACTTGAATCTAAAGGCTTGTAATTTCTAAGTGATTGACTGGCTGGTATTGCCAGAGCACTGTGTATTGTGTTACCCTTGATAATATATGCAGCTTTGCCTGTTGGAGCTAACAGGAGAATCTTAGTTTGATGAAAATCTTCACCAGCACGTGAATTGTAATATTTAAGAGCTGCTTGATACAGTGATTTAATGAGATGAGATTTTCCCACACCTGCACCTCCACTAAGAATGACATAAAATGGTTTCTCTGAAGTTTTTATCAGATGCAATGCATGATAAAAAAATTCTTTTTACTTTATGTTTAATTGCTGAACAAGTGTTCGGTATTCATCATCTTGCATTTCATTTAATACAAGTGGTTCATTGCTTTGCTGGGCTGATGGAATACCCAGGTCATCTGACATGTCATATCGTCCTGAGAAATCAGGATGTAAATCAGTATTTCCATCACTCTCATCTTGCAACTCAGCATGTTGTGTAACTGGTGCTACTATATCATATTCACCATCATCATTCTCTCTTAGATTAAGTTGGATCTCATCAAGATTTTCTGCACATACTGCATACTGTTTCATCTGTTCAGTTATTTGTTCACAACAAGCCATATAGTGGTCTTTATAAGAGGAAAAGTTTTTTATTAAATCTCTTTCTTCATTTCTCCATGGTGTAAACAACATGACCAGTTCCCGATAATGTTTTTCTGGGTCAATATCCTTGTTGAACCACACACTTCTTATAATCCTTGCCTTGGATCTCTTCTTTATGTTGCTTTTACCAGACTTACTTACAGTGTGGCTCTCGATTTCATCACATATCTCATCATCATTAGTGTCATTTTCTATTGACTCAAGAGGAAGTTGATCAATATCTGGTTTAGCGGATCTTTGTTTATATGGCTGTTTGCCACAGCTGTCATACCATGCAGCCCAGTCTGCAAGAGTAACATTTTGAAGGCTTGCTGGTCGTTCAACATATCGTTTTAATAAACCACCAGAATGGATTTCTTCAGAATCATCAGGCATGTGCTCAATTTCACTTATTGGTTTTAGTAATTCAACCCTTTCATTTGGAGGTGATGTGTTTACAAACACAACAGAGCGAGAAGCCTTTCTCATTGGAATTTGTAATACAAGGTAAACAGCCTCTTGCGCACTAATTTCTACACTGTTTAAAAATTTATTCCCAATGTCTCTCACTTGCTGTTTTATAGTGGCATTTCCTTCCTTTGCCTCAGCACATGCACGTCTCAGTAGTTCACTCATTCCTTTTTGAGCTTTTGAAATGTATGATACAATGTACATTGCACAAGCATAAACATCTAGCACAAACTGGATATCCATGTTAGCTCTCCATGCTTTTAAGCAAGCTGGGTTGTAATTGTTGACCCTTAATTCATTTGGGCTTCTCTTCAAAAAAATTGTTGCAGTATTGATTGATGATCTAATAGCAAGAATATAGTTTGCTTCTGATACATTTAAAGTAGTTAACAATTGATCAAATGAAATGTCTTCACCCTCTTTCATATCATTAAGTTTTTTGTTGATATCTTTCCACTGTGCACAGGCCTGTTTGGAAATTTCTGCTGGGATGGTATCATCCAGTGGATGTAGTATCTGGGTTGTCCTCATTGGTGGTTGTGGATAATTAAATCTACAGACACTTTTTGATCTTTTCCTGCAAGTATGCGAATGTCTATGTGTTTGTCTGTTGACAAGCTCAAGCAGATTTTCATCATTTTCTGGTTTTTCACATGATATGATTTTATCAATAAATGATACAACGTCTTCATCTTTGTCAACACCAAATACTGGTGCATCTTCAAGCCATATTAACATATGAATGTGAGGTGAACCTCGTTGCTGGTATTCTACACGGTAGAACCAATCCTTTAATTTTCCAATAGGAGCAGAATTACTCATTAGAAATTCTCTTAAAAATGTGTTGAACTGATAATCAAAATGCCTTGCACAAGTGACGGGGTCACTTTGAATTAACCTACATTTTTCCTCCCAATTCAGGTTTTCTAACTCGTCATCAGTATAGTCCTTATGGTCAATTAGTCTACCAAGTATTCTTAGCAAATGGATCCATTTTGTTTCAGCTGATGAAAAACTGCAAAACAAGGAGGCTGGTCCTAGTTGCCTTATCATAGCAAATAGATCTTTCTTTGCTTTTTCAAAATATGGTGGGGATCCCCTAAGTGCTCTCAGGAATTTGTATCCTTCATCAAAACGGATTAAATTTTCAATTGCACCTTGTGTTTTTATTTGACCAGCAGTTATTGTCCGATCATTTAATTTACATTTTCTAAGAGCTATTTGTGACTTACCAAGCAATATTTTCATTTGCATTTTCTTTGCTTTAAAAAATATATTCTCTATACACATTGCAGCTCTGCGGTCAGACCTTCTTAACTCTGATTTGCATATCTCACTATAGTAAGCACTAACTTGCCTTTTTTTATCATCTGGCCTTTTATTACCAAGAAATATACCAGGGTAAGCTAATTCTTCAGAGTATTGATCTCTAAATACACTGAGTGGTTTACTGCCCTCTCCAGGGGCAAAATTGTAGATGTGCTGTCTCTCACTATCGCTCACAAAATCTGTAGCAGTTAGCATACTATCAGTCACACCAGCAGGTATTTCTGCCTCATCCTCACTCCAGTCATCATTATTTGATGAGGATTTACTGTTAGCATTAGTGCACTTTATACTATCATTTGTTGATTCATTAGGATCATCATCACTTGCAGGCTGATTAAAATTATTGTACTCCCAGTTTTCATCGAAGGTTATTCCTTGTTCTTTGTACAAATCACTAGTATTAGCTAGCCAAGAGGCTGCTTGAAGAACCTTATTCGGTCGTACATTTAATGAAAGTGCTGAACTTTTATACTGCAGTCTACGTTTAAGCTGCACCTTAATAGTGTCAGTTTGCTGTGGTAACCTGGGTAACATATTTACAGTGGTTGTCACATCCGCAGGGACATTTACAACATTCCCAGTTATCTTAAATTGTTTTCCTCTTGGAGCTTGCATAATTTTTTGAAATGCCAGTCTTGGGGCTATTAGCCTGCATTCAAGTTCATTTAGATCCCAAAATTCAGGTTTGTCGGTGAATTTCATTCCATTTGATATAGCACACGGGGGGATTTTCCCCTTTTTTAAATGTTGACTGCATGAGTGACAAAGCCATTCAGTATTATCAACACTAACAATATTTTGAAGGTGTATTGTCATGTTTGGATATTGCAATCGGAATTTTGCAGCTGGTGAAACACCATGTTTATACCATAATTGGTCACAGGAAGAGCATACATAAAGTGGACCCACAGCTACCGCACTGTGGAAATTATTAATTAACTGGGCAATTGTTTGGTTATTCATTTGATTCTTGTACAGCTCTCTTTTAGCATGCAACCGTTTTTCGTTGTCTTCAGGCGATTCATTGGCTCTCACATTAGTTTCATATGCTCGTTTCCTACAGAGTCGTTTTTCTCTGGCTTCTGGAGATTCATTAGTTCTCATACTTCTTTCATACTCTTGGTGTTTAATGAGTCGTTTTTCTCTGGCCTCTGGAGATTCATTAGTTATCATACTTGTTGCATACTCTCGTAGTTTAATGAGTCGTTTTTCTCTGGCCTCTGGAGATTCATTAGTTATCATACTTGTTGCATACTCTCGTAGTTTAATGAGTCGTTTTTCTCTGGCCTCTGGAGATTCATTAGTTATCATACTTGTTGCATACTCTCGTAGTTTAATGAGTCGTTTTTCTCTGGCCTCTGGAGATTCATTAGTTCTCATTCTTGTTTCATACTCTCGTAGTTTAATGAGTCGTTTTTCTCTAGCCTCAGGAGATTCATTAGTTATCATACTTGTTGCATACTCTCGTTGTTTAATGAGTCGTTTTTCTCTGGCCTCAATCGACTGATTTGCCTTGATATTTCGAACCTTATACAGTCTATTTTCTCTTTCAGCTACTGATTCTTTTTTACGCTTTGCTGCAGCATATGCACGCTGTTTTGACAGGCGTTCTGCTTTTTGTTCTGGTGATTCATTTTGTCTTTTCTTTCTAGCATTATCTTGTCGCTTCTTTTTGTCTGCCAATATTTTTGTTATTTCTTTTTCAGAAGCATTTAGTGTTTTTCTGCTGTTTTTCATACTAGGTGTTTGACAGTTGTCAGCAACCACAGGTTCATAATCTATTTGACTATGCAACATACATGTAACACCTTTCATCTCAAAAGGTAAAACACCTTGAACGTGTGAAGTCAATTTGAAGTAGTCGACTAAATTTTGTAATCCTTCAACTGAAATTAATACACAACTACCAAATGGACATGGCAATCCATACAAATCTCTTGAATGAGAATCAAAAATTTTAAATACTTCTGGAAATGGTCTAAATATTGCCACTGTGTTACTACCAATGGTTAACAATGCTGTTTGATAATTTAGTAAAGAACTAGAAAACACTTGATTTAGAGCATGTTCTAGTGTCACAAAGGGCTCACTGTTGGCTACCATTGTCAGAGCACCACAAAATGACTCAGAGTATTGTAAAGAATATGTCTTATTATCAATGAAAACATGTTCAGGTACATCAGTAAGTAACAATAAATCTTTGTTGACAGAATTACTAATATAACCATAAAGATTGTTGCCAGTTTGTAAAATTATGTTCAGTACGGCTGTGTCCCAAATGTTTACACTAAGAATACTGTTGTGTACAATAGAGGTTAGTGACATGGCCACACATTGTTTACCAGCATTTTGGCCAAATCTCACATCACCTTGGCTATAATCAGCAAAAACTGTTTGACTATGGTTAACAATCTCATGTATAGTTGTAGGCCCTGGGTTCTCTTCAACATCATTTGACAATTTTAGCAGTAAAGAAGCATGATAGCACATCATTTGAACAAACCAAGTATTTACTTCCTGGCTTCTTTCATATTTATTCACAAGCCTTTTCAAGCAAGGCAAGTAAAATACACTCAAATAAAACAATAGTAACATATCATTCCAAAATTTACCTTTAAGACGTGACGATGCTTGTTTTGCTTTGATGAAGCTATTATGTGATCCAATTCTGGACCTGTACATTTCAAGTGAGACGGCCATATTAAATTTATCAGTTCAAGGCTTCAAGTTGTATTTGCTTGTCTGTTGTTGAATAGTATTTCACCGTTGGCGAGTTTCAGTAATAAACAAGCAAACGCTTGAGTCTCTTTTAACCAGCACAATGGCTTGGGTTCTTTATTAAACAAGCAAAGCTTGAGTCTGATTGATAAACAAGCACGCAGTGCTTGAGTCTGATTGATAAACAAGCAAAAGCTTGAGTCTGATTGATAAACAAGCAAAGCTTGAGTCTGATTGATAAACAAGCACGCAGTGCTTGAGTCTGATTGATAAACAAGCACGCAGTGCTTGAGTCTAGTTAAGCAGTACGTGTTCCTACACGTATTTGTGTCCGGCCACAAACGAGTCAGCCCAGGCACAATGAAATGCTCGAGAAAGCAATTGAAAGCTTTCTGTGAGTATAATGGTAGTCTGTAGAAGAACACAAATAGCGAAGTCTATGCACTTTTCTCTTCGCAGTTCTTCGCTAATGGCAGCCCGCATTAAATCGAAATCACACGAGATAAGCGCGCGCGACGCGTGGTACCTCATGACACGCGTGATGTAACAAACTTCCTCGATAGATATATATATATATAGCCAGCCAAGAGGTGACAACATCATGGCGGCTTCCATAGGAAGCGGCCATAAAAACTAAAAAAAACAAAAAAAAGCAACCAAACAAAACCGAGGCGAATTTTCAACTCCGTTGCTGACGCCGGAGTAACAAGACGCCTGTTCTGGCGTTAACTCCGGCGTGGCGCGCACGTGCCAGTCTTCAATATAAAGCTTCTGAACATAAACAATACAGTTCATATTCATTTAGATGCCTTGCGAACCTAAATGTTGTTCGGTCGCGAAATTCAGAAGCACATCGTACTTTAAAAAGTATAGAAGTTCAATTGTTCAAAAGTGTAAATAAACCGCATGATACATTCACTTTGTCTTGCACCTAAATTTTCAATCCTGTGCAAACTGCAACGTGTCAACGCGCCCATACACGGAATCTACATGCATTAAATATATTTTTACCCCAATTTAATCTAGACTTAATCGAACAGCATCAAAAGAGCGGTTTATTTGTTCCTTTTGGAGGAATTGCCGTATCATGCGAGCGAAATCAAATCGCGCATCCGAAAATTAGCCAAAGCTGTGCACCACAATTCTTGGGAAACAAGACTGCATGGGAAATAGATAAATGCAATCACATACACATTTCAAATACTAGTATATTTCGTGCCATTACAGACTTGGACGACGAAAAATAATAAAAAAAATAATAATAAAAAACAAAAACAAAAACAAAACAAAACCGAGGCGAATTTTCAACTGATATTGTTATATACCTAGTGTAAAAATTTTGCTTTTCTATTCGACAAGAGGTAAGTTGTAATAAATTTGTGAATCAATTAATGATAATACTTAGTTTTAGGGCAGTTCCAACAAGTCAGGTACAAACATGATGTGACAATATTGCTACATTCTTTTGCTGTCAAGTTCGTAGCAATGTTGTTGTATCATATCGTATAAGACTTGTCAGAACAATCTTATAACAAGTCTGATAATGCCATCTGACATGTTAGAAGTTGTTAAAAGCTTGTCCCAACTTCTTAAAACAAATTGGAGCAAGCGGTGCGAACAAATCTTTTTCGCAAGCTTGTGAACAGACTTGTAGCAACTCTGCTGCAGACTTGTTACAACTTGTGCTTTTTTACGCTTGTATGCACATGCAACAGATACAAGACCCGCTGCATAGAAGTACTTGAACCTAGCTAAAATGAACATATAGGAGTGCTAAAAGATATCGATTTATTAAGGATCTCATTTTAATTCTACTTAATAAAAAGTAGCCACGTTTTCTGTAATTTGCTTAATAAATTATAGTATAAGCATTTAAGAAGGGGGGCCCTGCGCCAAGCGCCCCTCAATCTTCTACAGCGCTGGAGGTATACAACACATATCAAAGACATATATAACACATAATATTAAAAACGCATATAGCTATGCAACTCATCAAAGATGTATACAACACGTATCAAAGACGTATAGCTACAACTCATATCAAACACGTCATGCAAGATCTCACATCATGCAAGGTGATTACCTTAGCATAACACCAATGCCTGCCACACCAACGTCACACCAAAGTCATGCAAGGGGATTACCTTAGCATAACACCAATGCCTGCATGCATTTCTGCATGGCCATGTGTTGTACGCGTGTTGATTGAAATTATACATCGAAGCTCATGCAAAATAATTTTAATGCATGATAATGATTACAACAAACGTTTTGTTAAACAAAATATTTTATTTAACCAATTTTCATTCTACTTTTATTTTCCCTTTTTTATCCTTTGAGTCTACTAACTGTCGTCTGCTTCAGTTGCGACTAGCCACTAAAAAAAAGCAAGAGTACAAAGAATTAGGAAGAGCAATTATTGCAACCAAATTTTTCATTATATCCAAAACTGTATTATCTTTCGTATATATATGAAGGCAAAATATAACAAAATGCTTGGAAAATATTTTGACTTCAGACTATTGGCACGGCGGCCAAGGCGATCGATATAGAAAAGGTGCTTCGAATAAATAGTTTTGGGTAGCATTCCTTAAAATTTGTTGCATTTTAATCGTTCTGATGAAATAAAACATTGCAGCTGCAAGTATCATTTCATCTCTTAGTGAAGGGCATAACTAGGTTTAAAAATTCAAAACCAGCTTCATTTTCTTACAAATAATTGCAATCCCATGGGAGCATAAATTATTTTGATTTTGTTGAATATCAAATATATTTTTTTGTAATAACGTATTTTCATATTATATTTATAAGTTTTATTTGACAAAGCATCGTCAAACACTCTCAGTTAGCTAAGGGCCCTCTAATGTAAGAATTGTCTAAGATTGCACATGCAGCGCAATTTAATTAGTGCATGCATGTTAAGTCGGTTTCCCACTAGATGGAATTTTTCGCTCGATCCGTCACGGTCGATTTCTCAGAATTGAAAAAAAATCGAGCAAAAAATTTCGTTCGGTTGAAAAATATACCACCTAGTAGAAAACCAGCTTTAGATATTCAGACAGCACATCGTATTTTGAAAAATACCGAAATTTAAAATGAAAATAAATCCTTGACTTGAGTTCTGCTTTAAAAATTGGGAACGTGAAATTATTATTATCGGTTTCTTTAAATAAACTTTAATACTTACAAATAGCAGCACTTAAAACCTTGAAAACATTGTCCTGGTATATCTCTTGGACAATCCAAGAAATTAGGAATACACTCGGCGCGGCATGGTCCCTGGTACATACGGTTGGCACCTATACGGTGTAATATCACATTACACAAAATTAAAATCAGCCCTTAAAAATTAAGTCGGAATGAAATAATTAAATGCGTTCTGGAGGGCGACAGAAAAGGTGTAGTTACTTCTTCGTTGACCTTTTAAATTATCCTCTAGGATAAATCGTGATTAATCATCGTATCTCGACCTTTTTTACCGCTAAATGGGAAAGCATGCAGACATTTTCATCACAACAATAAGATTTTTACTATAATACTGCGTGTAATTTGCGTTCCGATCGAATGCTGCGTGGTTGTATATTGTTGCGCACATGCAATAATAAGATTATTTTCTAGTGCTTGTAAGTAGAGTACATGAAACACTGCATTTAATGATAGTTAACTTTCACTCTCTTTAATGATCTCGTTTTTATAATCATTTACTCATCTCATTTTTCACGACCTGGAATTTCTGGTATTTTTCCAATGTGAAAGGATAAAAGGTAACTAGAAATACAAGCATGCAGCAACCCCTCGCAATTTCAAACGAGGCAAAATATTTCCTGAGATAGCTAGACCAAACCTTCAATATCTCGAAATGACCTAAATGTATAGCCGATAGCTGATGTTTCAAATTTTTTGGAAACAAACACAGTCATATTAAAAGGTGAAGTGAAATCACCCGTTTTCCTGCTGCATTACGTTGCATGAAGTTCTAGACTTTCACAGTTTAAGTTAGAGTTAATTCTTCACTATAGCTAAACCTTCAAAACATCAAAAAAGCACAAGTATAAAGTATAAATAACCAAGCAATAAACGTCGGATGTTGTTTTTCGATTATTGAATTCGAATCGACTCTATAAAAGCTTTGAAGTGATATTTGTTATATCAAAACTCTTTTTGAAGTTAAAACGATGATGTAAAGCCCTATAAATAGTCGGTTATGTCCTTGCCAAGCTGAGCAAAACGACATACTGCACCAAGGACATAAAATGTAATTTTAAATCTTCCCAGGTTTATGTAATCTTATTTAATTCCACATTTCATATTGTGTTTTCGAAACGTTTTTTTAAAAAAATAGTTTACAAAATGACAGTTAAGTCGCTGACGTTTATCACTGAGACACAAACGTTGGCCAATCAGCAAGTTGCTAATTACCAGTCTTCACTCGTTTAAGTACCATGACCATTGAACGTCCATGGTCCATGACATAGAATTTGGGCAATTTTGGATTCCGCTATGTTCTGTCAAAATCTCCTGGTGTAATTAATCTCCCGGCGGAATTAGTACTCTCGCAGGGCGCTCCGCGCCCGCTCGGGGATTAATATAAATGAACATGCAGTATAGCTGTGTGGTTCGCCAATGCTTAAATCACTGTAGTCCATATGTAGAATTAAAAAAAGAATGAAGAAGTAAAAAAAAGTAATTATTATATGCTAAAACAAAAATCAAGGATGTTACCTTTTTCTCTACCCTCAACACTGAAAGCAGTCACAAAGAGAACCAGCATCAGACAAAATCCGAGACGAAAATTCATTTTTGCTAAATATAATAAAGGGTGAAGTCGAAGTTGTTTATATATAATATAAAACTATAAATATATTAATAAAATAGTCTTCACAATTTTTAATAGTTTACTATTGAACATCATTACAACAACGTTATTATTATTATATTACGTGATTATATAACAAGTTATTATAAAAGTGCTAAAAATCGGACACTTTTTCTTATTTTATACATTCAAGTAAACAGCTCACCTCAATCTGTAATTTCTTTACGATGAAAATTTCGATACTTCACTGAGAAACTTCAATAAGCGAATGATTTTAGACTGTTTTCACCCAAATTTATATAGTCGATGTATACGACCACGTGAGTATTGGGTTAATGGATATTATAATGAGGCTGTCTGTTTGTCGGATACATGCATGCAGGATCTAAATTAAAAATATTGCTAATGAAATAATTTCTCGGCGACTTTATTATGTATATCATTATAACTGTCGCCTCCACAACTGTCACGAAATTTATGTTGGTGGTCCATTTGTCTTTTCCGACTGCGGTTAGAAGGCTCGGCGTTGAAATTCTCTTGTAGGTTTTCCTGTCTTCACTATACCAAAGATTCTGGAACCTTGATTTTTTGTAAAAAATATTTTTTAAAAGCTTTTGCTAGGGCGAATTAGAACGGAATTTTACTATTATAGACCAAGGTTACTTACGTGGCATTTTGGTCGCGTCGAATGCCACTCAAACAATAGATAATGAGATGATGAACCTCATTAAGCTTCATTTTCATTTCCTTATCTATTGTTTGAATTGCATTCGACGAAGATGCGTCGTATAAGCTAGCCTTTACCTACCAAATGATTATAGCTAGTATGGAAAATTTCATATTAACGATAAACATCATGCCCTAAAATTTCATTCACTTATATAATTATTAATCTCTAAATAAATTAATTGTTATTAAAGTCAGCAAACATCAAAATTACTACAAGCTAATAATTATGCTAGCGTATATAATATATAACAGGACAAAATACCATCAGGCTTCGCTACACTATACAGACCCGCGTTATATATATATAAACAGATATATTTCTTTTGCTTTGTTGACAAGCAACGTAAATTTTTACATTAAACTTTAATACCTCAAAGATTTCGGGTATCATTAGGCAATAGGACAAAAAGAAAGGTCACCATGATCAACGGCAACGGAAATAATGTAGATTTACTTAATCACTAGCTGCAGCCTGCATGTGGCCAAGGTATTACAAATTTCACATATATATGTGACCTTCCACGGGAAAACGTACGTTAACGATATTTCGTTGAAACGGCAAAACGAACGGATAACGAACGGGTAGTGAACGATCTGTCATAACGTTTCAACGAACCCAAAAAACGTTTTGACGAATTCAGCTAAAAATGTGAACGTTTAAAGTCGAGAATACGAACGGATAAATAAACGTTCAATCTGAAGCCGTTTGAACGATTTATGTTTATGAACGGTTTTAACGAATTAGTCTGAACGCCTGTTGCGCGTATGATTGACGCAAGATATTATTGACTAATTAAAATATGGAAATATTTTCAAACACCTAACATGTGTTGGCGCAAGATGCGTGTACATATAAATAGCTATGCCTTTATTTGAATGTTTAACTAAATTTATTAGCTAAACTACCTAAATCACATTATTTTATACTTTATATACATATACACATTTGCATTTTGCATCAAAATTCGGGTTTATTAATCGTTAGAAAGCCTTCAGTTATTAGTACAAATTATCATCATTATGTCAAATTAATCAATGCATCATCTGCAACTATACCCATCAAAATATTCAGCGCGTGTTTATTTGCAACAACGTTACAGATTTTGTAAATCTCTCCACGGACAAACTATATGTATGGGTGGTTAAGGACATATAAACACATCATGCATGCATCCGTTTTATTATTAACACGGCTCTAAACCGAGAGTAAACGAAGATTGCCATAAATGGCCTGGCTTCGATAATAATATCATAGGCAATGTCATCGGTCATGCACCGTCTCAGTTTGGTTGAGTTTCAGCTATATACTGGCCACATATTTTATGTTAAACTAAACACAAGAGATTCCATTGTACACTATTGCTTATACTCTTTGACGCGCAAACGATTAAATTAATTAGCGCAAGGATCAAGTTGTTTACAGATGATAACCAGACATTAATACAGAATATCGCATACGCAAAGTTCGTTTGTATGCGAACCAGCGTAGTAACGTCTGCTTGCATGCTGTCAAAACCTATTTGATATAAATAGCCCACTACATTAAATATCCAAACCAATTATACACGTGAAAATCCACATTTAAATTTCAGCAATGCATTGCGCGGCGGTAATAAAATATTTAAAATATAAGCTTGGATATTTACCTAGTGCACACAATATGTTCCGTGCAGCAACACCAGTAGCCTCTAGCTGCAGTCAAGCTTGTCGCGGAATGTCGCCTATACACAGTACTGTCAGTAGCAATTAAGGGCATCATTATACCTTAAGAATATTTTAAAATTTGATAATCTATTTTATCGACTGCATGCACCATCGCCATATTTTCTTCGCAAAGCTAAAGCTGCAATGTTTCTATCTCTGCCGCCATATTTTTTCATATAAGTGATATGTTTTGTGACCATACGATCACATATGCATGTGTTATGACTTATGAACCAGTATATCGCTAATTAATACTTGTGATATTAAATTAGGTAACCAAATTCTTGGTGGTCACTATATTCATCAGGAAATATTTTATTTCCACCCAAATATTCGACCATGTACATAGTTAACTGTGTAAATACCTATGCTACCTGAATGAGCCTAACAATAGTGACCTAAAGAAATAGAACGCGTATTAAATTAATGGGATAATTTTCGAAATCTTCATTTCAAACCACCGCGGCAATCCGCAATCCCGAAGGTCCGAATTCAGTTCCGCCCTGCAAAACAACTTAATACTCAACCCCGGCAGCAAGAAGAGATTGCACAGTATTTTCACTAAAGCATATAGCAATAGCAGACGGCCCATATAGAAACCGGGTTTTTAAATCACAGAGTGCAAATAATTTTTTCTGCAAAGCATATAGCAATGCTGCCGCCCATATAGAAACGACAATGCCAAATGCATGCACAGGGGAGTTTATACTCACCATTTTAAGAAACAAACGATCCTCAACATCTTCGAGACATCTACTTGTGACACAATTTGTGCCTCCTGCTTACAGTAAAATTAACTAATCAAGATTAATTAAGACATGCATGAAAGCATTAATCCATTTTGTCTGGCAAAATCTTTTTATATCATATAATTATATATATTTCGAGGTAGCATCTACCCTTTTTTTATGAAAAATGTCAGCAAGGTTTGTAAACAATTGTTGTTTCAATGTAAGTAAATGCATCCTATAAATTGTATTAACCACCATGGCTCAAGCTAACAACTTTTCTAACCTCAGCCAAGCCATTTTGAAGGTCTGGCAACCTTTCATGTCATGTTTATTCGGAATGATTGGATGATCGTGGCCCAACTTGATTCCACCGGCCATGATAAGCAATCTAAAGGGTTATATTGCAGTGCGCATTAAATATATCGCGTTAACATGTAAAATGCAATTGAGAACGTCTTGTTATATACAATTGCATGATCATCTATATGAAATCTTACTTCGAATGCGTGTCATATTTCGATATATGCATGGTCTATAGAGATCTACAGTTTAGCCAAGCAAATACACTCAAGGGAAAAAAAACTTTAGTTTATATCGAGACAACCGTTATACGAATTCTGTTGATGATCTCATCGATAAGCCTGATTTCAAGGCTTGGAGGAAAATAATTGCAAGCGCGCCTAAAAAAGTGGCCCAGTCATGACTTTCCTTCCTTATATCATAGCTAATGTTTCATTTAGTGTTCATACCTGGTATTAACCTTTATATATGCACGCGTTAAAACGCCTTGACTTCTCCATAGATGCTAATATCCAGCAAATTTTTGGGACAGTCTTCGCGAAATTATTGGTAAAGATCTTTACCCGCGCGCTCATGCACGCATAAACAGTTGATAGCCGCCATTTCAAATTTGCTCATTTTGCCGCTCTAGCTGGCAGGCTTCAAAGTGCAATGACCATGCATAATTGCAATTTAATATCTGGAATGTAATTTCTAATCTAGAGAGCCCAAATCAAAATTAGTGAAAATTTTCCTGTTGCCCAACAGCTGATATGTTGTCCAAGCAAGATAAATTCCAATGCTCCTTTCTGATGAATTATATATAACGAAATATATGTAGTAAAATATCTGAAAGGTCAAACTTAAATGTTTGTAAACGTTAGCTTGGCAATTTGCCCTTTGGGCTTGTTGTGGGCAAGGAAGGACTGCACGCACTTTAAAACATAGCGCAAAACTCAACCTCACAAAACACGGATTTTTTTGTAATAAACAATGTCACACAGTGAACATCATTGATATAAGTTCATTACTTTTATACAGTCTCTATCATGCATTTATACGATTTGAGCCTTTTCCGCGTTCCACGTTTCCGATTCGAGGAGCAAGTCGAGAGAAATCAAATTACAACCAAAATATACATGGGGAGTGAATTGTGCTGAAATGTGCATATATCAATATATATGAAGTATTTTTTTGTGAATTAAGAGTCTAAATAAATATTTACAATGCATGAGTTATATTTATGCCATAAGTTATATTCATGCAATTGCCACCTTTCAACATGCCAGCGACGATCGAGCCAGATGGCTTAGATCTAGTGATTTTGTAAGCGGGGCACTGAGGATTTTTTCTCCGGCTCCAGTTTTAGACTAGATGCACGCGTACATATTTAAATTGCTATGATATTCATGCAGTGGCGTAACGAACAGAGTCGAAAATGGGGTTTCGAGGTATACTTGGTACTGCGGGGTCCCTTAATTCGCTGTTTGTCATAAATCACGTTTTGCTTATACTATGATGTTTCGTTATCTATCCTGGCCCCCAATAAATTGGGATCCCTTAGTTCTCGTCGTAACCCTACCGAACGCGCGTTATGTCACTGTATTTATGTCTTCAAATATTAGCTAGGGTATTTCAATTGTTGTATAATTTGTAGCCATGTCAGACTGCATTAAAGACAACGAATTTCAAGCTGAAATGTCCGTCCTAGGATGCGGTCCCTAATTTTGAATAGATTTTAATCAGTAGCTGCTTCGTACGGAGGCCCAGCTATATAAGTTTATCACATGTAAATAAATTAGCTATATACACATGGTTTACAAGTACGATATTAAAATGTAA